TGTATTTAATCCTGTGGCTTCTAAGCGATGACAACAACAAAACGTAGAAAAAAAATAACATTGATTTCTCTACGCTGAAATCTAAGGGGTGGGCAAACCAGCTGATTTCACAGATGTAACGTAGCTCAGGTCTGGGATTTCAGAAGCTTATAGAACACATAATACCATATATGGCACATATTGTCAGAAGGCTCCACTTCTCTTGTTTAATGTGAAATTTTAAGGTAGTTTATCTCAATTGATTGAAAAGTTATATAACTTTAAACGCTCAATGTTGTGAATGTGTTGACACAGTCAGTATTAAAGGTCCTATTACCTGATAAATCAGGAATGTTGTAAATAAGGAAAACACTAAAATGTGCATGGCATTAAGCATGTCCTGATTTTTGTATGCATCCATCAACCTCAGAGCAACATTTTCATGATCACCCTTAGATTAGCATTTTCATTGTCCAGTCATAGTCAGTGTATGACATTCACATTGTCCTGATAAGTTCAATATCTGACCTCTAAAATGAACCTTTTCTGGAAACTAGAACTGCTAGATGACCTCAGACATCAGAGTGTTTAAGGTAACTATGAAATGTACTGACAGTCTTTTAGAACCAGACAGACGACCTCTCACTTCCCTTGAAAAACACTCAAACACTCAGATGGTAGCACCCAGGGCAAGCCAGGTCTACACCCTCTGTCTCCATCTCTAGTGGTAAAATATTCATGCAGAGTGCTTCAGTAATGACTCCCCGGGCTGTCCTTTTCTCAGAAAATAAAAAGACCATCCCTTTGAAGTGGACCCTTCCATGGACTTTTGGTGTGTCCAACTGAATTAGTCTGTGACCTCATGAATCTCTTTACCTGAATGCCCTGGACTTTTCCCATGGTCCACTGTAATATTTCTTGTCCAACAGAAGAATCAGTATACTGGACAAAGCAGTGGTTTGGCTTCTGATGATCAGAAAAAAGTACTATAAATGAGTGTAATCATAAGAAAAGCTAGGATCAATAAACCCACCTACTGTCTTAAACATTCATGTTTTTATGTAAATTGTAGGACTGCCATTTGACACTGAATCAAGAGAGTTTTAATCAAAGTCCAAATAGACAAATGGCTGCATTTGCTTACTCACATCCTACAACAGCTGCAGTCTCTAGAATGACAGAAGGAATATATCTTGATAGTAGAAAGAACCTTTTAAAAACTAAAAAACTCTAACTGCTTGGGGGTGGATTTGTGGGGGCAGGCTGTTTGAAATGTTTTTTTTCCCTTAGCTAGTGAGGGTAGAACAAAACCAGAAAGCTGACATTAATGCTAGGAAGCCAACTATCTTATCCAATCATTGGATATAGCCTTGCTTCTTCATGTTTTCCACATTCAGGTGAAAAATGCAGGCATTTCATAATTACCTTGTTACAGATAAAAGCTTGTCCAACAACCGAAGTAAGAGTTACGCTTACGCTATCTTGCTTGTATTTATCAGCTACTATAATCATATAACACAAACAAAATAAAAATCTACATTGTTTTTACGTTGTTAAATCATATTCTTTACATATATAATTTTTGCTTTAACAGCATTCAGAGATCAGCTTTATCGGAGAAGAACAGATTAAAGGGCAGAAATAGCTGCTTTTTGGTTCTGCAATTAAGGGTTAGTCTCAGCTGAAGTCTATCATTTCTCAGTAGTATGAGTTGTTAATAAATGTGAGTTAGATTTGTAATCAAAATTTTTTAATTGCATGTAATTGTGATGCAACATGTACAAACGAGAAGTCTTTTCAAAAAGACAATAAAATAAGTTACTTGTAAAAGTTTGTCTTTTTGCAAAATAAAGTGCATAAATATGTAAAATAAATGGAAAATTCAGCTGGAATAAAAATGAAAACATCATGAGTTAAAGCAATTGTATGAATCAGCGAGTATACAAATTTAAAAGGCAAGTAAATTAAATGTAAATATCAAGTGGAATAAATCTAACCAACATTCAGTTTTCAACTTTCCCTTTTATCAAGAGAGAGGCTGATAGAACAGCTGTGTGTCATAATTGCAATGAATTGTGTCCTACCCAGCTCTTCATCAACTTCTGGCTTGTTTTTTTCATATATCTTTGATACCACATGTTTTCTGAAATGTGGCATGCTTGGAATTTCGAATCAGTGCTCTATTTAATAAACACATAAACACATTTAACAGCAATCGGAATCCTTAATTCTCTATAGTTTGAAATAGGCACATATAAATAAACTGAAAGGCTGTGAAAGATAAAACTTAGCATTATTATCATTATTTTTATTGTCTAACTCAGTGATGCACCTATTGCCTTTGTAATAGCTTGAGCATGGTCGAGTGCTTGATTGAACTGTGAGCTGAACCATAAGGCTGTCAAACCCCAGATTACGGTGTCGGTTCAGAACCGCTACACCACTACATGTTAGGTATTGTAGTGATAGATCACTGATGATATCATGATTTCTGTCAAACTGATGCTGAGGAATATAGTTGTGTGCTGCAGAATACAACATAACATAAATGTCATTACAAGCAATAGCTTTAGCCCAGAATGCCCTTTTTAACTGAACAGTAAGAAATCATGCACAGCCTTCCAAAGATTCTAAAATAATTTGCTGGAAAATGATAAACTCTTTTTCCTGTGAATTACACTCTGTGGCAAAAAATGCATATGGATGATATCCATCAGTCTATTTCTTACTGTAAGAGAAACATATGCATGATCGTTGTGCAAATTGCCAACTAGTCACTGTCACTTCAGGTACATTTCAGCCACTGATTCTTCTAAATCAAGTAAACAAGCTTAGCCAATGAATCGTGACAGCTGTAGTGAGTTGCTATAAATTTTTAGTCACAAGATGCTATTGGATTTGTATTTGCTCATGTGCACTTATTGACAGTGAAATGATGGCAGGTAAGGCTCAATACTTTAAAGTCATAAAGACTCATTCGCAGTGATGGCAAATCAATGTGTGAATGCTGTGCGTGTTTGAGTCACATAATATTGGGTCCGCGTCAGTCAGTCACAGCAAGACGCCTGCTATTGTTGCGTTTTCCCTTCACTGTGAGTGACTCATCAGTTCCCTCCTAACCATGTCAGACTGTTTTTTTGAAGTTTTCATAGCTCCAAGTGGGACTGCCAATCTGAGTCTGACACTCTTTCCTGGGGACCCAAATGAAATGAATGGTTGAGAGTAATTAAAAAAAAAAAAAACATGGAAGAATCAAGCCTTTGATGCTCTGCACTCTGCTAGCAGTCGTTCTGAAAAGTGTGGCTGAAAGCAAGGGACAAAGCAGAGGCTTAGATAAAAGACAGAGGGGAATCAGGGATACAGCCTTTCAGTGGCGGGACGGTAATTGAACGAAGGAGCATGAAAGAGTGAAGAAAAGCGACTGGGCAGAGAAGAGGCAGAGAATGGAGGCCCTTTTTCAGTGCTGCTTACTCTGACTGCAATAACCACACTCTCTCTTCCAGCTGAGCACTTGATTGGATTGTCGTTCTCTGGTCAGAAATAGTCATCCTTGGAGACTCTGAGCTTTAGACAGCGAATTGAAAAAGTTATTTTGGTGTGTGTGAACGGTGGTCTACGAATAGCTCCCAATGAAATTGTTTTGACTTGGAAAGCACGTGCTTGTGTGAACCCGCTGTACAGATTGATGACGTGGAGTAAAGTTCACTTGGACATGTGAACTGCACTGAAGTAGCCTGTCTGACCGAATGGCAAAGATTATTTGTTCTGACATGTTACTTCTTTTTATTATTCCTACAGTTGTTGTAGAGAGATTTTTTCACAGAGAGTTTTTTTGGTGGATCAGAAGACAAGAACACGTACTACATCAATAACAGGACTTGCAGGCCTGTCAAAGAAATTGGTTCTGAAGTAGCTTCATTTCAAAACCGCTAGTGAAAAACACAAGAGTAGAGGTGAGGTAAATATGAGAACGCTGAGGCAAACATTTCAGTTCAATGCTAGCATTGTTGCTCAGTTGCAAGGAACATAAAACAGCCAGCCATTTTAAAGGCTATTGACTTCTGGACAAGGGACTATGGGTCAGCACTTAAACTGAAAGAGGTCATTCTATGTTGTGAGAAAGAAAAATGTTTACCTTTAAATGCAGTTGTGTTTTTAACATGTTCTTATGTTTGGTTATTTGAGCATTAGAATATCCAAAGTAGTTCGTTTTCACGAATAAAATCATGGTTGTTAAGCTTGAGCCGATTAACAATAGTCTATCTATCTATAATTTATCTATCTATGCATCTATCTATTGAGATTGTCATTCAGTTCGATGGTTTAAATGATTACACACCATCATGTGTGCTTTAAGATGCACAAAAGTGTGAAAGAGTGAAGAAGTGTTTGTATGTATCTTTTATGTCTTTTAATATGTTTTCTTATAATATGTAATGTTAATATCAGCCCTGATATGTTGTCAGCCTTTAAAACGTTCTGTAGCAGCTTGAGAGAGAACTTTTTTTTACTGCAATAATGATCAGTGACAAAAAAAAAAAACAAATGCAGCCGTCTATAAACAAAATGGATTTCTTCACAAAACATGAACTGGGAAATAAAAGAGGTTTACGTCAGTTAGTAAAAACATAAAAAACAAAGCATAGCTACAGTCAAAGTCATTTTTAGGCTAAATCACATGGTTTTATTATTTGAACCAGTGATCTATAGGCTGTAAACACGCGATGTATTACATCAAAAGTTTTTACCAGAAAACATGTTTTCACCCCATGATAGTACTGTAAATTGGCGATTGCTAGGGGGTACAATCGGATAATGGTATGTTACACATGATATCACAAACCTAACGACTGTGATTTGGTCAGAGGCAGAAGACGAATGCGATGACTGATCATCATTGGAACACTTCTCAACCAATCAGGTTGCGCAGTGTGTACAAAATGGTGAATAATATAGTACATTTCATATGTCATGTATGAACTTCTCATGAGGCTCTGTTTGTGTTTTCACTTGTTTTACAGATTTTGGCCAATATCATCATTTTCATCTGTGGGAACATGGCAGGAGCATACCACAAGCACCTGATGGAGCTGGCTCTTAAGCAGACCTACCACGACACCTGCAACTGCATAAAGTCCCCCATCAAGCTGGAGTTTGAGAAGCGCCAGCAGGTTCTGTGCCAATCACCTTTTACCCCTTTAACACCTTGGGCTGCTGGTTGAAATGAAGTGTTAAAAGGTTTAGGTGTTATCTGCATCGGCCATGAAAAGTCTCTCATTGGTGTGGATGCATGTGGATATGTTCACTGAGCTGCAATGAATTCTGACTGTGAGTTATTCAAGTCATTAGCCATGCGTGGTCGAACGTGGACAGTATAAAAATGGATAAAGAAAGACAACCTGAAGGACGAACAACAGTTTTCGCATTAAGTATGACTGAAAATTAAATTTAAAAAGAGCTTGATGGCATTTATCTTTTAGACTGTATATTTTAAACATTATTAATCCTGCTCCAACTGCAAAGAGCTATCATTGACGGTCAGTGTCCTATTTTGGATGAATGGACTTAAACTTATTTTTACTGAACCATCATGCTTGCGCAGAGTTTGAATCAGGACACAGTTCACATAAAGCAAAGTAACTTGAAACATAATGTGGTCAACTTAATATTGCTCTTACTGTTTGGGTGATTTTGGAAAGGGAAAGAATCATGTTTTATTGATACAGCCTTCCTAAATTTATGGTAGCTTTCAAGAGCATCAATAAGAGACCATTAGGAAAGCACAGTTTCAAATTTCACTTTCAAAACAATAGAGAAACTGCAGTGTACAGCAGATACTCAGAGGCTGAATAATTTCTGTTTATTTTTGAAAGAACAGATGGAAGAGCAGCATTTTTTGGGGTAGGACTATTGCGTTAAATTACTTACCAACCTTAAGTAGAGAGTCTATTCTCAATGAGAGTCTGTTCCCAGATCTCACTAGCAGTCTAGTGGACCTGACCACTTGATTGTGAAGTTTATTTGAATATGTGAAGTAGTGGTTGGAAGCCATTGTGGCTGAAAATATTGGCAGTATGAGCTGTTTGCTTAGCACATGTAAGAACCCTTGAAAGTTAGTTCTTGAATAAACTAAATTCTGTTGAGTTTGGTGAATATAGACTGTAGTAAATCTGTGTTCTTCAGCTTGGCTATGTAGCCTAAGGGTTCTTATGTAATGTTAAAGACATTTAATGGCTGCTGAAGGGTCTTCCCAGCTCACAATTTCTCTGTTCTAGTTAAAATAACACTCTCACTTTATTATCTTCATTTTACAGCATGCTACAGGATACTTTAGTAAAAGCACAGCTGACTTTCCAACAGTGTAGAGGACTGATTTTTTTATTATGACATATTCCCTCTTTACCAGCGTGGAGAGTAGCTTTGAAGTCTTAATTTTCTGGCAAACGTTATTTTGCCCAACTTCACAGAAGTTATTCCTTGCTTGCCATTTGAATCATTATGCATGCATTTTAAGATCAATGTGACTAATGGTTAAATAAATGAATAAACATCAAGTTCCATGTCGAGTGCAAGTGTATCCTGGTTGTTTGGGAACTTAAATCATTGGGAACCTAGATCATTATTTACAGGGTATTAATATTTAATTTCTTTAAATAAAAAAAAATAAATAATGCTTAATTTTTGCATTTTTGTTGTTGTTATAATATCTTTATTTCTTTTAAAGTAAAATTTAAAAATTTAGATTTATTATAAGTTTAATTGTTATAAAAAAAATTCTGAAAATGCTGTATCACGTTCTCATGGCACTGCCAAAACACAGTTTTAACCTGTAGGTGGAGCCTTATTTTAGCCACACCCCAGCATTTTAGAGCTGTAAGTCAGAGTACCAAAACATATATTGTCTGCAATTAAGTAAACCTTTCTTGTGTTTTAATGAGAATATTATGGTTTTATGTGTGCACAGCTGCTCAAAGCTGCATTTGCTAGTCATGTACTGACTAGCCTTTCTGAGTTCAAATAGAGCAAATATTGTCACTACTATAACAGTCACTGCTGAAACATTTGGTGACATTTTGGTCGTGTTATTACTGTTTTGGTAGTGACAAAATGGAATGTTGAATCGTTTATTTTTCAGTTAAAAGTCCAAAAATGCATTTAAAGCTCTGACTTTGAACCAGTTCAGTAAAACGATCCATGTGTGTGCAATGAGGAAAAAGCGCAAGAGAGCAGCAACTGCCCTTCTGCTCTTATAATGGGCCTAAGGGAGCTTTGTGCTTGTTTAGTAAATCGCAACAGCCACTTTTTAACACCAAATTAGAGTTTGCGACAGCATAAAAGGTTAGTAAATCTGACCCCTTAATGTATGTGGCTACTGAAAAGGCTGGGCATTATGGGAATAATTCACCACTGTTCTGTGCTATGCAGTTCAATTATGTAGGATCTCTGAGAACAAATCATACAAGAATGGTTCTAATTGCTCCATTACAGCTCGAGGAATTCACATATTTATTCCCACTGAAGTCTCCATGAGCTTTATCTATAAAAACAAAAACTTCCACAATGCAGTGTGCCAACCAACTACGTAGACACTCCTGGGTAAAGCCCCAACACTCAGAACGGACGTGTTTACAAAGGTACTGAAAGTGAGCAGACTGATAAAACAAGTATGAGGTGAGCAAATTACCTTACACTGCTTTTCTGTAAACTATTGCAGCTTGCTAGGTGACTAACTTTAATAGCAGCAAGACAGATGTTCCACTCTGTATAGGCATAAAATCGTCTGTCTGTCTGTGCTACATGCATTGGATGCTATAACAGTAGTCTATATTTCATGGACAGATAAATTTCAGTTTTGTGAGCAGGCAGTGACTACTTGTTTTACTCTGAAGGTGAGAGCTACTAAGAGATGTTAGAATAACCTCACTGCAGCAAATAGATGCCTTCTCTGTAGAAACTGGTGAATAACACCCAGAGAAGAGCACCAGTCACTTGTAGATGTTGCTATCCTTCAGCTGCTGCTCTCTGCTAGCTCCCCTGTCTTTGATGAAGGTTTTGCAAGACTGTATGCTGTCTCAAACACATTTAGTTGTACTTTTATATGAACCAAATAAGCTGTCATTATCCAGATATTGTTCTATATCCTGTCTGGAGAAGTAGCCAATTTGCAGTCTAGTAACATCTACTGCCTCACCTTCTGTAGTTTGAAACTGACCCACTTAGACTTTTAACAGTGTCATCAAGAGTCAGCATTTTACCAAAGCAATGTCTGCTTTTGGATCCACAGAATGCATTAAAATCATTCTTTTTCAGGTAGAAATGTTCTACTGGTGATGAGCACATTGATTTTGATGTGTCAGATTATCACTTCAAGCCATTTCTGTACATATTAAGGTTAGTTTTGCAGTCAGAGAGTGTAGGTATATTAAAAAAAAATCAGTGCCCATTCAGAGATGAACATTGTAAAGTTTGAAATGGTTTGAAACCGACAACCCCATGATGCTCGTCTGGTGTTGCAACAGAGCAGGGGTCTCTCACAGTGACTAGGGCTGAGACAGCGAGTAAAACTCATTGCTGCTTTTACTGTGAGATTTAGAGACAGCTGCTGGCCAATTGGCTGCCTTCCACCCGACTGTTCTCCACAAGAGGTCATACAGCGCCTCAATCCTCTCGTCTGGATTAACCTCCCAGGAACATCCTCTTAGGCAGCGGGTGATGGATTGGCATGGCCACACCGGCTGCTTAGGCTTTTCTCTCAGAGCAATAGCTCTGCTGTTTTCTGTTCTAGCTAAAACAGAATTCATATGCTGCACATCTTGCAATTTTGACGGTCTGTTTGCTGCCCATTATTAAAATTTCATCCATTGCATCATAAATATTTACTGCACAATTTATTGTTCTAATTAGCCTGTTTTTCCACATACAGTACTGTGCTGAAGTCAGAGACCACCCTCCATTTATGTAATTTCCAGTCAAAACAGCCCTTAAGTGCAGGAGATATTTCTGAGGAGATCAGATATAAGGTTATGCACTTGCATTTGGAAAGGGAAAGTAAAAGTAAAATAAGTGTAAAAACAGGAATTTTCAAAACTGGAGGCCAAAAATTCTTAAAAGACAGAGAAAATGGGACTCCCAACAACCATGCAAGACCTGGTAGACCACGAACACTGTCCCCATGAGATAAACAGCACTTAAAGCTTTCAACTTTGAGAGAGAGGAAAATCAAGCTCCACTCTTGCTTCAGATCTAAAAAAATCCACCTTTCACAGTGAGAAGACTGAAACGTGGAAATGGACAAAAAAGAAGAAAATTTGCAAATCAAAGTCCAGACCTCAACATCACTGAATGTTTATGGGATTACTTGGAAAAAGAAAATTTACAACTACATTTGGAGGTGTGGTAGAATATTCCTGCAGTTTTCTTTGAAAAACTGTAAGCAAGTCTTCTGAAAAGAGTGGAAGCTGTAATAAAGGCAAAAAGTGGACTGAAAAATTTGATATCTGTGTTAAATTAATTAAAAATGAATAACTTATACTAAATGGTCATTTTGACTGGAAAAGTCTCTAAATTTTGCACAATTCTGTTTCTGAAGCTATATGCCACTTAATTCAAAAGCTGGCATCAAACGGAAAAGGTTAATAGATTTGTTATTTTGGTTTGTATTAATAAAATCATTTTAAAGTTAAAATGAATTTCACATGCTAATCATTGTTAGACACAAATCTACCTCACCTAGTACATGAGAATGTTCAAATAGCACTAAGCAGAGAAACTATCATAGCTGCCAAACAGGCTCTGTAATTTCAGATTTAACTAATTTACTTAATTAATAGAGGAGCTGAATTGGAAATTGAAAGAGGTGCTCTCAGTTTCACCACTGAAAAAAAGTCCAGTATGTAACTCAATTATACAATTATGTGTAATGGTTGCTTCCGGCAGTCACTCTGAGCATTAAAATGACTCTGACTCAGCGTGTACCTGGAGAAGGTATCACGTTTTGCCTTTAACACATACAAATTCAGCCTCTCTCAAAGCGTCTTTTGTGAAAAATCACACAGAATGTCTAATTTGTTCAAATGGTTCTGCGGTAAGGTGCGCAAATATATATCGGAACTAATTTCCAGAGGGCTCTTCTTCCTCACTAAATTATTAACAAAACACCTGTAGACTTTTTAGTGTGTGCTTTGCATTTTAAATCTGAATATGAAAGAGCTTTGCTTTAAGTCTTGATTGCTGCTGTAAAGCAGTAATATTTTGTATCACTTGTATTAAACATGGACAGTTTAACTTTACATTATACTTTTCTGAGGATATAGTGGATATTATCAGTGATAGAAGAACACTGAATAACCATGTTTCATTACCTAGAGAGCATAATTAGCCTTATTTAATTGTATTTAGTGCAGTGCCATATATACATTTTAAAAATAATCCTTGAATTCATGGTACTATTTTAATGTGGTTTATTGGGGCCTTTTTCTTTTGCAGCTTATTAGAAAAACTCTTGAAAAACTTGTGATGCATATCATGTATCGAGATAATGTCTTGGAGTTTTGTGATATTATATTTCTGCCGTATTGCCCACTCCTGCTGCTACTATGCTTATAAATAATTAGCTTTATGAATTCATTGTTTTGAATAATATAAAGATTAAAAAATAAGAAATTATTTATGTCCAGAATGGTAAATAAGAGGTAGATGATTACAAAATAAAAGCTGTACAGCATCAAGAATAATGCTATAATAAATTTTGGCTATAAAAATACATTTGTCCTGTATTTGCACACCGGCACTCAATTTTAAGGAAGATACTATGATCTGACATCACTACAAATACACTGTAGATAATTTAGTATTTAATATTAAAACCTTTGAATAAAATTGCAAATAATATGATCAGTGATTGTGAATTTAGTGTTAGCATAATTGATTAGAGCTGTGGAACTTCAGTCTCCTCTGACTGCATGCCTCTCTGGTTTATGTGTTTAGGAGCGTCTGCTGTTGTCCCTGCTGCCAGCTCACATAGCCCGGGTAATGAAGGCTGAGATTATACAGAGGCTCCAAGGCCCCAATTTTGGCCAGGTGGAGAACACCAACAACTTCCACAACCTTTACGTGCAGAGGCACACCAATGTCAGGTACCTCTCTTCCCCCATGCTCTCGCTGTCTCTTTCACACACACTCCACACTACCCTGAAGCAGGGATGAATATTTTTGCCCTCACTCATATGCTGAATGTTAATGAATTTGCAGGCAAGCTGAAAAGTTGCAGGTAGACTATTCTTGGAGGACGCTTGAAAGAGAACGCAGATATAACACAATCTAAAAGTGTTGGGACAGCGAAGTCGTAATTATTTGTGATCTAGACTCCAGCACTTTATACTTTGGTTATGCTCACCTAAAAAGCCAATGAGTAAAATAATGTCAGGAGTGGAAAAGTACTAAGAAGTTGTACTGAGTAAAAGCATGGGTACGGTGTCAGAATATTAAAAAATTAAAAAAAATTAAAAGTATGGAGCCAAAAGTATTTACATATAAAAAAATGTAAAAAAATGTTTTAACCAATAAAGTTTAAGTTGTATTTGTTTTGTGGTACATGATGCACCAGAAATGAAGACTGAAATCAGTGACTTGGACTTGAGACGCATATTGACTAACTCACAAGTTGACTGACTCAGGACTTATGGTCATGCACAGTTATTACGGCAGTGCCGTTTTTCCGTAGCTCGCAGCAGTGGCAGGTCCAATACAACTTTCGGTAAAGAGACTTTCATTATAGCAAACAAACCCTTTAGTCTGCTGGATTGAAGCACTGCACACGGTAAGCATAGTGTTTAAAGGCAAGAGGCGGAACAACTTGAAATGGCGGCAAATGTGCTAGCTGGCATGATAGCAAGTTTCGCTCGACTAAGACCTCACCCCTGAGGCTCAACTTGGACCAGCACCCCAGAGACTTAAATCTCGACTCAGACTCTCACCCCGAGACTCAACTCGGACCACCACCCCAGACTTAAATCTTTACTCTGACTTGCCTCAGAGACTCAAGACTCAATTCGGGCTCGCAGCCCTGAGCCTCAAGACTCAACTCTGATTTAACATGGGCTTGTTCAAAAGAGACTCAAGACTAAACTCAGACTCACACTTCAGAGACTTGCGACTCAAGTCGTACTCGCACCCCAGAGACTCGACAGTCCTGTACACATGCAACTTAGATCTGGCTCGGACTCAACATGGCCTTGTACAGAAGAAACCCAGACTCGCACCCCAGAGACTCGAGACTCGACTCGGACCCAGCATGATTGACTTGAGATTTGACTCAGACTCAACACGGTCTAGTACATGAGACATGAAACTCGACTCGGACTCGCACCCCTGAGACTCACAGCTTGACTCGGACTCGCACCTTAGAGACTTGAGACTCGACTCATACTTACACCCCAAAGTCCCTGGACTTGACTCGAACTTGTACTCTCCAGACTCCAGCCTCGACGTGGACACAACCCAGATAAAGGAGACTCGAACTTTGATTGAGATTCGCGATAAAAAGAAAATAGCATAGTTGTGGGCTGTATTATTTAACAATGATATACATTTGGTTGATTTTTAGATAAACATTCAATACACAGAAAAAGAGAAAACTCTCCTGGGTTTAGGGATTGGTAACAAATACTCTGAAAGTCTAGATGGAAATGTAGTTGAGTAAAAGTGCTCATTTTTAGTAATACTCGACTACAAATCTTTCAAAATAATCCTTCGCTAAGTGTATTAACGAAGTACAAATACTCAAGTACTTTCCACCCCTGATAAAAGTACCATAAAATAGACTTCTGTTTGCGTGTCCTCACAAAATGATAAAATACTGAGCCTGCAGTCTGTATTTTTCTCCAGTCTTCCTTGGAGCTGATTTGCTGAGCCTTTTCTTTAGCCCCCCTTTCAGTTCTAGTTTATGTTGAGGGGTTTCAGAAGACAGTGTATTTGTCACACTGAGTTAGTGCAGTCTTGAGAACATCATCTGTTCTTAGTGTAAGTACTAGAGGCCAAAGTGTAGTGCCAATGCTCCTTATGTGGCCCATTTTCTGTGAGTTACGCTGTGTTGCATTACACAAGGGGGATTTGAGGACTCTAATGCACCGTGGCATTTTGGAGTAGCAAGATCTTTCTCTCCAAAAGTGAAGATGGTTAGATTCAGGTGTTGTAAGCAGTAGGGGATATTTTTTATGTTAGTTTTAACTGATGCTTACTAGTGTCTTCTTTTTAAATGTGCAAAATAAAATATTGTAAACACCACATAGTCATTTTATTAGGGCATTGAATAAAATAATGACTTTGCCTTAGGGCCCTACAAAATGCGTGGCCAATAATAACTGATGTCTACAGTGATAGTTTGACACAATCAACATTTAATATTTAATCTTTCCTGTGTTATGAACAAGTTAAAGAACACTTTTACTCAAAAACACAATTCACAAATTAAACATTTAGTATTTAATCATCAATCTGTCCTTATGTCTAAGAGAACGTGGTGTTTTCTTTCAGTATTTTGTATGCTGATATTGTTGGCTTCACTCGCTTGGCCAGCGACTGCTCTCCTGGAGAGCTGGTCCACATGCTGAATGAGCTTTTTGGCAAATTCGATCAGATTGCCAAGGTAAGCCGCCAGTGGTCTTGATATTAATCCAATGTAATGGCGTAGTATGACTCATGCTTTATTCCCTGATGTTTCTGACCCTGTAGGGTTCTACAAATCTCTCTCGATCCAGAAACACAATTCAGAACATGTCACGTGTATCGTAGAGTAAATTGCTTGTCCTTCCAAATGTTCATGCTGAGACTGATGCCAATGCTTGCTATTTTATTAGGAAAATGAATGTATGAGAATCAAGATTCTTGGGGACTGTTATTACTGTGTGTCTGGTCTCCCTGAGTCGTTGCCTAACCATGCCAAAAACTGTGTGAAAATGGGTCTGGACATGTGTGAGGCCATCAAGTAAGTCCATTCTGCTTTTAGTGTATTTACAGTGCTGTTTTTCATGGTGATTTGCATTGTAAAGTCCCTCTATTTGATGTTCAAGGGAATGGTTCAGTGAAAATCCAATTTACTCAGTTTTCTACTTGCGTCAGACCTGGATGTGGTTTGAACAAGTTGAGAGATGTTCTGGGGATGTATTTATGAAAAGAGTTTTAGTGTCTATTGTTTTTATTGGAGGTATTCTATTCAGTATGCAGTATATATACAGTACAATGCAAAAGCACCTAAAACCATATATCTCTGTATATTACTATATATTTTATATATTATTTACTATATGTATTACTATATTTTTTTATAATATTAGTGTTTTTAGCAAATTGACACTTACTGCCCAGATAAATAGATTTTTTAAATAAAATTTTCTCATTGCCTTAACTTTTGTACAGTATTATATATACATTCTTAATAAATATCAGTCACATTTAAATGTTTTACTCAGTTATGTATGTGATATCATAAATGTTGGACATTTTGGTCATACATTTGGTCATTTACTGAAGCTTTCTATTGAGTTTTCATCCTTAAGTTTACACATATAACAGTTGCATGCATCAACAGTGCAAGTTCCTATGGACAGAAGCTGTAAAACAAGTTTGGGATTTTAATGTAGTTTATTTGGCATAGAATGGGCAAATACTTGTGCATGGCACATATCTAAATACTTGTTAAAATTCTGTTAAGGTGGTGGCAAATGCTGCAAGTGGCCCAAGGCTCTTGCTGTCCCAGCCTGTCCCTCAGAGTCCAAGCCTGATAGGCCTGAGTTGTGGTTCTGAGTAGAACATGATGTCTGGCTATCCTGATAATGACTTGAGGGTCACAGAGGTCAGCGCATGTGAAATGAGTGGTGCTGCATTCTGACTAAGCCTGTCTTTATCTCATCGTCCTGTTTAGCCGCAGTGCCGCAGAATGATATCTCTGTATTAGTTGACTGGCTCATAATTTGCTATGGAGAGAAAACTTGGAGAGAGGTGTTGCTCACAAAAGTGGGAGTTTGTTATTGCCTTAAACTCTGTGATTAGTTGATTTAGCGGTTTCTGAGTCCTTACGCAGAGATACAGTAGTTATATTGCAGGGGAAAAAAGACATTTGTACCATTATTGTGATATGTACACTCACCAGCCACTTAATTAGAAACACATTGTTGCTGCTTGTGCATCCTTGTAGACCTTGGACTTTTACTCACTGGCCACTTTATGAGGTTCACCTACCATTAGGCCTGTGTGATGGGATGATGTAAATGGACATTGTCGACTGACAAATAAATCAGTGATGATTCAAAGGTTCTAATCAGCGTGTTGGGAAAGAGAATTGATGTGAAACTAGAGAGGATTGTTCTTTAAACAGCTTGCTTAATACTGTATTATTATTTAATATAATGATATCAAATAATATTTTAAGGGCATGTTTCTTATTCCTTTTTACTTTTAAATCAGTGAATTATTACAGGTATTAATAAGATGTTATGCCACGGCAGAGCAAATTTTCTGTCTTGATGGGCTTCCCAGAGCGCAACATACTGCCTTAGGAAAATGTGAAACTTTTCCTGTACAGCTGTGGAGTGTCTTAGTGGTCTGAATGAGTTGTAAATTTCTAAAAATATAACACTTTGTGATTTCCCAGACACCTATAGCTGAATTCTATAACATCTCCTTTTTCGATAGTATGTGAATATGGATTAGAAACTCACCCATGCAGATTTAGCAGTCTCCATAGTGTCTCCACAAGGGGGAGTTGCTTTTGTGTGCATCATTTAAAGAGAAGAAGGAACTATGAACCCACACCAACAGGATCTCACAAATGCACATTTGCGATCACAACTTTTAAAGTGACAGCTGAAATAGTTTATTACCAAAAAGTGTTGTTACTCAATATGGTGAATGTTCCAAAAATAGCCAGACTAGAGCAGTTTTTGTGGTCAGAAACCTGACTGTTGATGAGGGGATAGAGGGCGGCTAATTCAAATTGGGCATCAATAACTGTGCTACAGTCTCTGGCTGTACAACAGCAAAGTATAACTACAAGGTAGAGGTTTCTAATAAAGTGGCCATTGAGTGTTTATGATTAAATGTGCCTGCAGTGCACATATTTGCTGCATAAAAAACAAAAAAAGCTTCAGAATTCATGCAGGGTACTATATGAGCCTGGACTCTGTTATCTGTGTTTAGACCTAACTTAGTTTTTCTAACAATGACCTTTGCAAAAATGTTTCCTGGAATAGCTTTTCTTTACTGTGTAACCTTTCTCCTCAGAAGGGTTACTGTTTCAGCATTAAGGCTAACCTTAGACGGCATAACAAAAAGTCTCCTGTAGGGAACAAGGCAGATAAACATGGACATGGTTTTCCATTCTCTTTAGTTTTGGGCTCCATTGCACACTTTTGATATTTCAGCCTGGACTTGGAAACAACTGAAAAAACATTGCAAAAGGCCAAACCCATTTCAAAAGGTCACATATGCTTCTGGAGTTTGCATGTGAGTTCAAAGCTGCTGAAATCTGTGCATACATGGGCCAAAGGGTTTTAACCAACCAATGGGCTTTCGTCCCTTAGGAAAGTGCGAGACGCCACTGGTGTGGACATTAACATGCGAGTGGGGGTTCACTCTGGAAATGTACTTTGTGGAGTCATCGGCCTCCAGAAGTGGCAGTACGATGTCTGGTCACATGATGTGACACTAGCCAATCACATGGAGGCTGGTGGTGTACCAGGGTATGCTTGGTCAATTTATATGTTTTTGTATTGTCAGAGAAACTTGGTTTGACACTGCAATAACATTTGATTTTTGTTTTTCTTTTCTTGTTAATGAACAGACGTGTTCACATTACTTCTGTCACACTGGAGCACCTGAATGGGGCGTATAAAGTAGAGGATGGATATGGCCAGGAACGGGACCCTTATCTTAAAGAACATGGGGTTGTGACTTATCTAGTGATCAACCCTAAGGTAAATCAACAAAGACTACTCATTTTGGACAAAGTAGAGGAAATCTAACCATCAGTGCACTGAACTTAGAACGCTATGGTTGTTATTGTCATTTTGTTGTACTACAACTTCCATATTATAATAAAACTTCTCCTTATCTACTTATAAACATGAATTTTTGTACAAAATAAAAGTTCTGAATCCACATTTTTGCCAGAATTTTTTCTCTTTTTTAAATGACATGCGAGTTAGAAATAATTAATATAATATTTAGCGGTGTCAAAGTTAATATGTTAATAATGCGTTAACACGATAAATGATTAACACCATTAATGTATTTTCCTAGTTCGGCCCTTTAAATCATTCTTACTTCCACTGTGAAGCCCAGCTGTTCATGCGCTGTATGTTGTTATGACACCACCACTGTAGAACTCTCGTTCAAATACAGCTTTTAAAAGACTAGTTCCATTGATAGCTCTTTTGATAAACGTTATCTCTAGCTACTGCAATACCACAAATTAGTTTATCACCAGAGTACATCAATTCTGAAGTATCATTTACAAGCAAAACACATTGCTGATGCTGGCAATAATTAATCAGTAATTTGTCAGACTACACTGATCAGTGCTCCCAAGAAAATCACAGATAAATTGGAGCCAATGACTCTGTGTAAGATCTATATGATATATACACTAGATATATATGATATATACACTCTGGTTTAAACATGAAGCCACTGTTGCTCTCACTGGATACATTCACTTTATTTATGCACTTCAGATTATTTTTTCACCCTTCTGTGTTCACGTGATTTTCCTATTCAGTTTAATGTGAACTATGCGTTCACATGAGGAAACAGTATTTTTAATGAATAACGAATAAGGCATTTTTTTGTATGGCTGTAACAACATGCATATGACTATAACAACATGCACTGCTTTGTAAATGAAAAATGAATGTCTTTCTTTAGACTTAAATTTGAGCCAATAAGACAAATGCAATTAATCATGATTACACAAATGTTTGTGACTAATCCTGATTAATTATTTTAATTGTTTGAAAGGCCTAATAAAATTACATCATACCTGTATCACTGGCAGCAGTAACTGCTTCTAATGGATACTCTGTTAGCATTAGTTACACAGTTATAGTTGCCAGGGTTAGACCAATGCAGTAAGACAGTCTTTCTTGACTACTTGATTTTGACCATATATTTTGAGAAATGTCCCATTCAGTAATGACATACGTGTTGGTGAATATCCTGAATTCCACTCTTTCTTGAGACTTTATTACTTTTATTTTGATGTTTCTTTGCGGACAGGCTGAGAGGAGGAGTCCCCAGCATCACTATAGACCTCGACACACTCTGGACGGGGCCAAGATGAGAGCATCAGTCAGAATGACTCGTTACCTGGAGTCCTGGGGGGCTGCCAAGCCCTTCGCCAACCTGCACCACCGGGACAGCATGACTAATGAGAACGGCAAAATTAACACAGCTGTGAGCCCCATGCCCATGGCACCATGTTGAGTTTCAGTGTGCAAAATACTAAACCAATTAATCCAATTAAGCATTCTGTAGCAGTTTGCATAATTAGATCCTATTCAATTATGTCTTCTAGTTTTTAAGCATTTCTGCTTAAACTGCTGTAAATAGATTGCAAGTCTTATATCTGTTTACTTGCAGTTCTCTTCATCTCTAATGACCTTTAATATCGAGCATTTGCCTGACTCTGAAAGTGTATAATTTCATTTTAATAGGATGTGCCGTTGGGTCAGTACCACTTTCAGAGGCGCTCAGAGAGGTACGACCTGTTCCCTTTTAAACACGCCGCAATCACTTTCTGTAAAGGTTAGTGAAATTTTACCGAGCTCACACTGTGAAAGAAGTTCCTAAAGTATTCTCTGTCTTGCTTCTCGCAGAACGAAATCTCAGAAGAAGCGATTTGAGGAGGAACTCAATGAAAGGATGATACGAACATTTGATGGCATCAATTCTCAAAAGTAGGTTCTAGTTCCCATTGACATCCATGTCATTTACTGTTTGAATTTCTGGAATGAAATCCTAATCTCAAATGTACATGCTGTATCTTTCAGACAATGGCTCAAATCTGAAGACATTCAGAGAATATCACTGTTCTTTCACAATAAAGCATTAGAAAAAGAGGTAAGCCTGGGATTTCCATTACTTTCTACAAAAGGTTGGCAAGTAGTCAAAAATATTTCTTGGCACAATGTAATAAAAAAGTGAAGAATCTACAAAATTACCTTCATCGGGTATTTTATTAGAAACTCATACTTTGTAGGTACACCTTGCTGGTTCACAGATAGATACTGTTCATTTGCAGATGCACAGTTTGTGTTTGCCATCCTCTAGCCTTTCATGAATGATCAGACACAGACGTATGTAAAAACCCCAGAAACACTGCTGTGTCTAATACACTCGTACTAGCACACTATTACACAACTACTATGTCATTAACATCTGATAAACAGCAGTCCTGTGGTCAGAAACTGACCAATGCTGAAAGGAATAGAGGATGTCTGACACAGATGGCCTAGTCTGTAATTGTACACCTAAATAGTATATCTATAAAGTAGATGGTCATAAAATGAACAGCAGTTAAAAGTACAACAAAGGTTTTGTGATAAATTTGACCATGTGTTATGTTTTTCCTGAATACAGATGTTTAAAATTAATCAACAAAGCCCACTGAATATTGTTAATTATTCTCTTTTCATAGTACAGAGCAACAACTTTGCCTGCTTTCAAATACTACATCACCTGTGCCTGTTTGATCTTCTTCTGCATTTTTATTGTGCAGATTCTGGTCTTGCCAAAGTGAGTTTCTGTCTCCTTTTTCATTAAAGTTAAACGGTACAAACTATGTGTGAAATCGTAGAAAACATAAGGCTGAGGACATAGAGTGTAGAAAGTTATTTGGACAGTACTTGTAGAGTTTGTGTATATAGGAAGTCTGGTAATGTTCAACAGTACCATTACTGTGGAAAGATGTAAGATGTGTGGCTTTACATCAGTAAAATAATGAGCTCTGTTAATTCTAGTAATGATCTTTGTTTGCGTTGGCTTCTAATAGACGTCCCAAACATCTGCTATCAATTGCAGTTGGACAAAAACACTGAAATAATTGTGCTTTCCTTATGCTAACTGAACTTTTGCTGTACTGACATTTCAGGACTGCTGTACTGGGCATCTCGTTTGGAATGTCCTTCCTCATTCTCTCCATGATTCTACTCATCTGCTTCATTGGCCATTTCTTGGTAAGCATCTCCACTTCGTGAGTGTGAATGGGAAGTGGAGCTTTCAGGTGATTCTGTTTTATTATTCAGTCTTGCATCTTGAGATATTCTTAGGGCTTTCTCAACATGCGGAACTGTGCAAAAGCGAGAGACCACCCTTCATTTATTTAATTTCCAGTCATAACAGTAATTAACTGCAAGTTATTTTTCAGCATCAGGGAAAAAGCAGAAGACAGATATTTAACAGAAAATTACACAGCTTTCATTCTTTTCAAGAGACTTGCTTTTAGTTTTTTTATATAGTAATCTTCAGGTTATATTTTTCTACATCTTCAAAGTTCAGTCTCAGAAGTTGGTGTTTTTCTGCTGATGTCAAGGTCTAGACTTTGGGGTGGTCAGTCCTGTTCTGACACCAGCTTTTTTTTTAATTTGCAGTTTGTTTTTTTTTGTTTGTTGTTTTTTTTTGTCTATGTTCTTTTCAGCTTCTTGACAGCTACACATACTTTCAGACTCAGAGCATTGAGTTGTCTTCTCACGGTGGAAGAAAATAAAGAAAGTTCTGTGGATTTTTTCACATTTAAAGCAAGAGGGGAGCTTGATTTTCTCTTAAAGATAACTGTTTTGGTGGTCTTCCCGATCTTGCACAATATTTTTTTTTTGTTTTTACTTATTTTAATTTGACTTTCCCTTTCCTTATGCAAGTGAATTATCTTATATCTAATCTCCTATATCACAGCTTATACTTAGTGGCCATTTTAACTGGAAATTAATTAAATTGAAGGGCATCATAGATAGATGAGTTTTTAGCTAGCTCTGCCAACTGTAGACAATTTTCCAGACTTGACAGCAAATGAAATTTCACATTTATAGCTCATTGCTGTTATTTTACAGGGTGAGCATTTCCTTTTCTGTAATCTCATCTAAAGCTGTCCATTAAAAATTTAAACTGACAGATTTATTGCACTTTTACTGTGAAATGACTTTTTTTAGCTCAATATGTGGGAACATTCATAAAGATTTAAAACGTTGGTGATCATCATTAGATTTCTCACTTGTGATAATCATTAAATTACCCCTTCTTTTTCACATAAATATAACCTGCAGAGATAAGATCAGACTCAGATGAAAGGAAAGTGACGCTGCAAAATCTATGAAGGCTATTTTGTGCTCTTATTGAAAGTACTGGCAGTAAAAATAATCACTGCTGTATTGCTGGGAGCTAATATACTCAATGTCTAATGTGTCATAAGTGTTCACAAGACTGCAGATTTATTCCTCTCCATCTGTTTCTCAAGTTATTTTTAGTGCATTTGGGTCGTTTGATGGCAACATCCTACTATTGGATTTATTTTTCTAAAAAAATATTTTTCCAGACAAAACTGTATATTTACAGAATGTTTTGCTACTTATTGTGTGTGGCAAATGTAAAGAATAAGTGTGAAAAATAGTTAACTTTTGTTGGATTAATCACTTCTGACCTCCACATAAATCCATCCTAGCGTACCGCCTGTCTAACTGGCACTTCTCCTGTTTCTCCAGCACTGCAGTAAAACAGCCTCGGCATCATGGCTTTGGATCCTCCGATCCTCCAGCATCATTGCCGACAAGCCTTGGCCCCGCCTCACACTCACCATGGCTACCACCACCCTCATCCTGGTCATGGCCGTCTTCAACATGGCAAGTAACGCGTTAGTTGTGAGGGGCCAAGGGGCACTAATATACCCATAGCACTGATCAAAAGTTTAAACACAACTGATTGAACATGTAAATCTCATTATCCTTGGTATTTTAATCCAAATTTCTATGCTTAAATTCTTGAAATTTGTCTCTAGGATATGTTTATGCCTATTCATCAGTTTACATTTCAATGTTTAGCAGATGCTCTTATCCAGAGCAGCTTACCAGAATACTTTGTTGTCCACTCAGAGAATGTATGTTTAGTTGGTACAAGTAGATGACAAAATACAGAAAAAAAATTACTTATGCAAAAGTTTGTGCGCCCCTGGTCAAATTACATGATAGGTTTATTTTCTAAGAGAAAATAAGTTAGCACACCCTCTACAGAGAACACACAATTACTGTTTTAACGTATAGGAAAAATATATGACCATAGACACAATGTGGACAGTGTGATGGCTGTGGGCAATTTTTGATTTAATGTTTTTTGTTATGCATAGCAAATAAATGCAAATTGTTTCCTAAATTTTGTTCTTAAACTTGTCACATAGAAAATCAACCAAACATGTAATTTGACCAAGGATGTAAAAACAGTTGAGCTAAGGAACTGCCAGAAACAAGAGTCAGTGCTGATACTTAGATTGAAAGATCACAGTACAGGAATAAGTGCAAATACCAGATATTTTAATAAGTACCAGTATCTTTATTTCCAGAACAAAAATTTTAAAATGTATTTTTGAAGTACCTCTTGAGAAAGAACCCATTTGATAGAATGGCAAGAATGTGTAAAGCTGCACTGGGGCAAAGGGGAGCTGCTTTGAAAAATCTAAAATGTTTTGTTTAACACTTTCTTGGTCACTGCATAGTGTCATGTCATTTCATAGTTTTGATGCCATCACTGTTATTGTAAAAAATGTAAAGAAAAATGTGTCCAAACTTTTGACTGATACTCTAAATGTAACAATATTAAAGACGTTACATATGTAAGTTCATAGATTCTCATTCACTTCCATGTTAAACTGAGAATAACAGGCAAAAATATTCATGCCACTGCTGAAACGTGTTGTACTTGGTCATTTTGGCTCGGCCTTCTTATCCATCTGTAACTTGGCAGTGGGTGGCTGATTCTCCTCCAAACTCGGCCACCCCAGCAACTGTGCATGTCACTATTTGTAAACACGCACTAGAAACGAGTTTCCCGTTGTCTGTCTTTAGGCAGCATGTCACTCAAATTCAAATCCGTGCTGTGCCGCTAGCTTTTCATTAAAACCCAGCATGATGTGAAAAGATAAGCTCCAAACCCGAGAAGGATGCACGCTGGGGTTTTGGATCAGTGGTTTTAATCGGTTTTCTTTTGTTTTTCCATCAGCAGAAACAAATTGAGTCAGATAGCATTTCACAACTTCTGTTTATTTGTTTAGTTCCAATCCTTGAAGATGTTCCTTAGATAATGTGAATTATATATGAATGTATTTTATCCAAAATGGAATAAAGACACAGTGCAGACGATAACATCCCCAGGCATGGTGACTTGACAGGCAGTAGTGCGCTGCTTTGGCATTCATTTGAAACAGTGTTTGCAGTTCTAGTGCCCTGTTCAAAATGACTGCACTCAAAATGACTGCTTGATACAGGAGCATCATTTTTATCTCTCTTTTCTTTTCAGTTCTTTCTGGAAGACAACCTGACACCTCCTCTACCCCTTTATAATATATCCAATGAAACACTATTGCAGCCTGATGGGCGTCCTGTAGCTTACCTGGAGAAGAACAATTTCTACCTTCCTGTGAGTATCGCCTTCATGTTGTCTTTCTAGAAAAAAAGTCCTTGTTCTCATCACAATACTTTTTTTACACCAGTCATTGTTATTCATTATTCACCAGGCCTTGAGAAAGTCTCAAGCAAAGCCTGAAGGCATGCAGCTTACTACTGAATTTGTTTTGTAGCTTTAAGAAGAAGTCTTAGGCTGGCTCTACAAGGTGGAATATTTATGCGACTAGTTGCATGATGTGAGTTGCCTACAGCATAATTTCTGTGCAGCTAGACAGTTACATAAGCAATTCAGAATCAGTCAAAGTTGCAAAACACACAATCAGTTACTCCACTAGTTGGCCAAATTAGCAGCTCGTATTTTTGATACGTCATATCATTCTCACGATAAAGTGACCAGCAAGGTGTAATTTACATATTTGCAGCATTTTTGTCACCATGTATTTTTTTCCAGCTGACATTGGCATTCTTTTGTTCTGTATATTCTGTACAATTTTAAATTTATATGTGTGCCTTCTATCTATATGTTTATAGTTCTTTACTCTGTATTTGAGTTTTTATCTGTTGTGTGTATGTTAGGCCTTTGACATCTTGCTTATCCTGTCCTGGAAGCACTGCAACCGAGGGCCACATCTCAATTTAATTTATAATTAAACATCTCAGTTTATTTTAAATAATGTTCATCCTTTGGATCCCAAATAAATCTTAGCTCTGTTGTTACGTAAATTGTGAAAACAGCGGGCTAGCTAAGAAGAATAAATAGTGTTTAAACAGCTGTTAATCGTTAGCTGGCTAGTTAGTGTAGCTGGTTACAGGAACCTTGGCTTCGAGAAACTCAAACTTGTTGCCATGGCTCAAGAAACTGACAAAATGAAAAACTACCATCATTGAGTTAGCTGGGGGGAGGGTCTCCTTTTCATCCACCCAATAAACTTCAATAAAGACTTCTGTTTTATTCTTTGTCTGTTGATCCGTCAAACTCGGCTGTTTTAAAGTCAGTCGACATGATGTGTTATCAGAATTTTGATTTTGGGTTTGCTGCTGTTGAAGCTGACAGAATGAGCTGCAAAATGCTGTACATTGTGCAACTCCTGTAGGCTTCAAGCTAAAGAAGTTGCATGAAAGTTTCACTGTGTAAAAACAGTCTTCAGTCTTGGTCACACTGGACTGTTGCCTTACTTTTTTCTTAGTTGGAGTGAACAAAAATCAGACGAGTGCAGGCGGTACTGATGTAATGTGCTATTGGAGGGAACATATAGTTTGTCATTTAGATTGCTTAGACATCAGAGACCGCTCTCGTTTTCTGTCGCCTCTCACTTCCGAGGTTCGCAAATTTGCAGGTTGAAAGATCACTTGAATTAACTCAGCACAATGCAGAATTAACTGCTGCAGGAAGCAATTTTTTTTCTTTCATTAGAAGTTTTTTCCTTCATATGTCCTTTCTCATTCAAGTGAATTGCACATTTTACTCTCGTTCGGTGTGACTGATGCTTTATAAATAAAGTTAGAATAAAGTTGTTCATGTCTAACCAGGAACATAAGATTTCAAACACATGGTTGGCAAAGGCGACCATGCATCACTGCAGTCGGCGTCATCATATCATTTACAGAATGGATCACAATTGTCACCATTACCATCACTTCAATTTACATTATGGAGGTAAAGCTGTTTCCCCGGCTTATGATGCTTGTGTTGCTCTCCTTGGCAGTATTTCATCTACAGCTGCATTCTGGGCCTCATCTCCTGTTCTGTATTCCTGAGAATCAACTACGAGCTGAAGATGCTCATCATGCTTACCGCAGTAGTGGGATACAACATCATCATTCTCCAGACTCATGCCTCCCTCCTGGATGAGTACAGCAAGTTCCTCTACAAAACCGAGGTCCTGGAAAGGTAAGCTAGCTCTGTTGTGATATAGTAGGGATGTAAATGCAGTGGCTCTATCTGTATCTGTGTCTGTTTAGTACTTAAAATATCTAAATGTATTTGCATTTGAAATGAAAGTGGGCATTTTTATGTTTTGTGTAGACTGTCAACTATCGTGCATGTAGATTCAGTGTTAATTTATTTGGTCAAACAGTGGAAGAGTGAATGCATACAAGGCTGCTGTTTGCTACTGAATAAATGCATGGACTTTGTGAGTTTGAGTCCAGTTTGTTGTTTCTCCTCTCACTGCTCTCTTTAAAGAGAGAACATTGAGGGACTTAGTCATCGTATTACAGACTACATCAACTATTTTGTGGATAATATGACCTCCACAAAGACAATGCATTGTTTTCCCAGTAATAAACTGTAGACCACAAAGAATGTGAAAGACCTGCTGAATAAAAAGAGGAGGACCTTCAGGTCGGTACATAGGAAGGAGATCAAACGAGTACTGGCAGAGCTTAGGAAGAAACTCTGTCAGGGTAATGAGAGATACAGGGACAAGATGGAGCAGAACAAAGTCAACAAGGAGTGGAGTGGACTGAAGACCATCTCTGGCTACAAACAGGCTGGAAACCAGATGGTGGAGGGAAACCTGGGCAGAGCTAATGAGCTGAAGCTGACAGATTTTACTCATCAATCCAGCTATCCCCTAACTTCTCCGCTTCCAGCTCAGTTGAGAGTGTTTTTCAGCCACTGCACTTCCCCCATTCCTGTCTTCTCCTTACTGCAGCCTCTGACACGCTGACCTCTGAGAAATTTACATTAGCCAGACAGAGAAACTAGTCGTGGATTTCCATGATGTTTAGACCAGGGATTTTCAGTCTTCTCTGGAAAGGGCCAGTGTGGCTGCAGATTTTTATTCCGGTAATTCAATCAGGTAATTTCACTTGTTTAGCCAGTTAGTCTCAGTCTTCAGTCTTTGTGTGCTCCTGCTTCATTGGAATGAAAACCTGCAGCCACACATGCCCTTTCCAGATAACATGGGACCCCCTGGACCAATAGGATGTGCACAAATACACTATATGACCAAAGTTTGTAGACATCTGCTTTTCTATTGTTTCTTCTGACATGAGTAGAGTTAATCGGGGTTTTTTTTCCCTCTTTGCTGCATTAACAGCCTCTACTCTTCTTGGAGGGCTTTACACTAGATGTTAGAACAGCGTGAGGATTTGATTGCATTCAGTCAAAAGCATTAGTGAGGTCAGATACTGATGTTTGATGATCAGTTCTTGGTCAAACAAACTCCACTCCATCTCATCCCTAAGGTATTGGATGGAGCTCCATCACTCCAGAGAACACAGTTTCACTGCTCCGCAGTCCAGTGCTGAGAAGCTTTATTCCCTTCTTGCTGACGCTTGGCATTGGGCATGGTGACTTTAGGCTCATGTGTGGCTGCTTCAGAGTGTCCCATTTTTCCTTTGGAGTTTATAGAAGCTGTGTATGTGTAATTGAATGCCTGTGTCAGCAATGGATTCACCCCATTGTAGCCAAATTCACTAATTTGATAGGTGTCTGGATAGTTTTGTACATATAGTGTCCATATATTAACACTTACCAAAAAAATTACAATATTACTACCTAAACACCATCAATCTATACAAGAGGAAATCTCATCCATAAAATTCCACAAAATTCCCATTCCAGACCCAATTAAAAACAAAATATATACCTCTTAATATTTGATGAGACACAGTGCATGGCAATAAAAGGTAATCTCACCAATTTCTTGAGAATTTCAGAAACTGTACAGGTAAAACTGTACTACAGGTTTACAAGTGAGACTGATCAATGTCCCCTGGAAAAGACAGTCTCTAGGCTGGTGAAGATTAATCTCCAATGTCTTAAGTAATGGAAATAGTAATGCAAATGAGTGTGCATCACTCTGTAGAACAGTGTGAAATAAAAACACTTAGTAAAGGTAGTGGTTATATATAGAACTGTAAACACAACAGCTTGAAAGCTTAAATGGTTCTTTGCATGGTTAAATAGCTTTTCACTTTAAAACCTGTTGTATGTGGTTCTTAAAAAAATTGTGGGGTGTTTTTGTATAGCAACAAAAAGGGTTCCATATGTACAATCATAGAACCTTTTTTGGTATTATATAGAACGCTTTTTGTTAAAAGTGCCCCAAGCACCAACACAAGACAATGTTAGGTATAGCAAGAATTATCTGTACAAACTGAAGATACTCACTCAATCACTCATACTTGTCTATGATATTGCAAATGTGGGATCCTGAGCTACACACTCTTAGTAAAAAAGGGTTATTTTATAGCAGCAAAACAGATTCTGGGACTTTTAGACCCTATATAGAAGCTTTTTAGTGCTCTTTGGTGAACTATATTCAAATGGTTTCTGGACATTATACACAACAACAGCAGCAATAATAATTGAGGCAACTGAGAATGTCACAACATATGACTTTCATAACTTGTGAAGGCAACTGTAGCATAATAAGGACACACATGAAAAGAAACATTTAAGCATGGTTCTTTGAGTTGTCATGGCTCTATATATAACCATTGTCTTTTCTGAAGAACCCATTAAGAACACTTTTAAGTGTAGGTTGCCTGCTGTATAGACCTTTTTTTACTAGGCTACTGCTTGTGAACCTCAAGGCTCTTCATAACCAAATTGTTACATTAATTTGAGAACTATAAAAGCACTCTTCACTGCACCTCTGTACCATTTCCATTCACAGCTTGAAGCAGCAGACCACAGCCAGCACGACTTTTACATGATCGATCCTTACCATGTTGATAAGAGGTCATATGGGGTAGCTGTTGTTGGAATGACCTGCTATTCTGTGTCCGATACTGGCCTTTCTTAAGTGGCGCTCTAAATTAGCTTGGACCCAAAAGTGGCTTCAACATAAGTGCTCATTAAGGCCAGCTATTGTTGGGTGGCTGCCCATCCCATAGATCGCCTGTTATTCTCAATGGGCACTGCAAAGCTTCCAGTTCCTCCTCCTAATGGACTTTTATTATTATGGGCCACTGGAGACAGGCTTATGTTAGTTAGCCTGAAATAAAGCCAAGCTTTTTGTCTTTATGAAGGCCAAGCTGTGCTGCAAATCCACTGGAGGATCCATTTGGATATTTACAGTAGATGAAATGTTCTTTGTGGTTGTTTATAATGATTGAAGTCTCCAGGCAAATACTGCCAAGATGCAGTGTATGTTCATTTTGTTTTGACTGTGTATGAAACGAATGCTGAAGTTGATAATTTGTATGGGGGAAAAATAATTAATGTGTTTACTTTTCATAGTGATATTAAGTTCTGTTTGTATTGATTATTAGTCAGCTACATAAAGAAGTGAATTTGAATGTATCAACCTTACACAGGGTTGTCTGCTCAGTTGAAAGGTGTCTACAATTCAGTTCAGTCTGTGTAGTGCCTAAGTGCAAGTGGTGAACTGTGAGCCTTAGAATTAGGCTTTCAGTTCAGGTCATGTCAAAACGAGAAAAAAAAAAAAACATTATGATAATGCTATGATAATGCTAATTTCATCCAGTGTCCCTGTAGGATTCTCATTGTATGTTAGCGCTGAGATAATGGCGTTTCACGCCATTCTGGATTACACTTGGACATTGAAAGCTTCTAAAAGATATTCTGTGTTTTATTTGAACCTTATAACAGACATTTTATCTTGTAGTGGTTTTACAGTGACTCTTTCAGTAAAGAGCCCTGGCATAGAACTGCTGCTGCTGTTTTTCATTTCTAACAACTGGCTGAAATACGGTCATGCTACTGCTTGTACTCATAGTCAGTGACTTATCAGTGGCTTCAGAAGGCCTTAAGTAATGTTTTTTCTCACTAAAGTGGTCTCACCCATTCTAAATCAAAACGTGAGGGCAATTTCACCATCATTTCCTAATTATGTTGGTGCTTAATTTGACACATTAGGTCTTCAGTTTAGGTCCTGAAGCCCTTACCAATGGCGGAGAGCTTGCTTGGCTGTATATACTGAGATGCCACAGAGAAAAATATCCTGATTGGGTATTTTTCTGTTGGGCAACCCTTTTGCTTCTAACCAAAAAATAACAGTGAAGTTACTAAAACACAAGTCATTCTCTGAAGCTAGAGCTAAATGGCTCTAAGGTTTCCCCACTGCTTAGTACCTTATAAGACACGTTGTCCCAAAGCAGCTTCCCGGAAATGTGGATCTAGATCAAGTTGAGGCAAAAGACAGTGTCAGGAAAACTCCCTAAGAGCATGAAGAAGAAACATTGAGATGAATCAAGACTCAAAAGAGGAAAATTCCATCCTTTTCTGGCTGCACCAGTAGTGGAGTTAGGATACAATGGCTTTGTACTTTATATTCCATGATACTGTATTATATTTTCTTTAGCATCATCCTATGATTTCTAATCCTGATTCCAATCCTTGTTCTGCATGCAGTGTACTCAGGAACATAGGCATGAATTATTCACCAGTCTTCATAGTTAAGTAGAAAAACCTGCTACCATGTTAACATTAAACAACATTGACATTCTTTATTAATGGACAGCTGGAGAAGATATGGCCCGCTGGCCCCTCCTGGACCAGAGATGACATGATTTGTAACAGGGAAATCAGTTAGACTCACAAGTCACTCCTTCTCTCTCTGTTTCTCTCTCTGTCTCTTCCATACCAAGGCCAGGAGTTCTGAAGGACTTGAAGACGATGGGTTCAGTGTCTCTTTTCATATTCTTCGTCACCCTCCTCGTACTGGCCAGGCAGGTGAGTTTAGATATGAACATTTGTGACGCTAAAATTTGGGGTTGACAGAAGTATGTTATAATAAATAACAAAGCAATAAAAGCATGTAATGTATTAGCTAGAGGAAACAAAACACAACGAGGCAAGCTAAGTTTTAGTGGATAGTGGTTTTAGTATTTTTAAAAATGTAGGCTTTTTCTCTGTTTTAAAAAAATCTTTGTCCAAGCCAACAGAATTTACAAAAATCAAATATCAAAAACAAAACTTTGATGTCAAGAAAAGCATTGCACACATGTGTACTGCTCAGAATATTTCACCCATTATAGATAGTAATTGTATAACCCAGAAAATGTGCCCTGCAGCCGTATTGCTATTACGCCAGCATAATGTGTATGAGCAGTCAGTGCCAGCTATGGCTTCCAAATCAAGATATCAAGAAATAGTCTGTTTGATCAGAGATGTTGATCTGTACCATATTGATTGGTTATTTTTGAGTCCCGATTTTGCATTTTTGCCTGCGGTAACATATCCAGACATCTATAAATATCTTGTAAATACTGCACCAGCCAACACATCGCTGGAGCTAAAAGCATACAAATCACTAAAATCATATAATTATTTCATCTGTGGAATGGGCTGTTGTTACTGCAACCACAAACCACACAACACATTATGGCTATATTTTATCGGTCAGGGTGCTTTATTAACTAACGATGTAGAAATGGTGGCTTTGCTGTTGCCACTGTCTTCACTGCACTGACCAGTGGTATGTCAACAATACAGTGACAAGAAGTGTGATATCAGTTTTTTATTTATCTATTAGGTTTTCGCAAGACCAGTGAGGTGTTTCAAAGAAAGCATTTCTGCTGTCTTCCAATATTACTTTCATATTGGTAGTGTTGGGAGGGTATGACTGCGATATTTAATAGGTATATAGCGCCAACTGCTGCATGTCTCGGGCAACGCTCACGCATGTGCCTCTCAGTCTGTCAGTCAGTGACTCAGTTAGAGACATCGACTCTCGTAGGCTGGCTCGCTGGGCTGTCCAGCAGTAATCTCAAAACACATATTCTACCACTACTATGACACGACCACGAAACAAATAAATTAACAGAAGTAAAACTTTACACAGCCACAGCTAAGAATAGAAAGAAATAGGAATAAACTGACAGAATTTCTGGGCCGTTAACTATAGATCATAGTTGACATTGTTATCCATATATCAAATGCACTGAGCACAGGTTAAACTCTAAAGAATGATCATGGATTTATTTTACATGCCCATGACATAGCTAAATTAAACATCACGGGCAATTTAAATGTCTTTTTATGAAAGTATTTAGATTATTTAGGATTTACATAATTTGGAAATTCCCAGCATTAGTGACTACAAGGGTCAGTGCTTGTGCAAGCTAAAATAAGCTGCTAAATTATTGTTGATAATTACTGGCTGTAATTCCAATATGGTAACTTTAATAAGTACATCTTCCCAATTATCTGTGAATAATAATATATCATACACCACAAATAGAAAAATGATGAGACCACATGGGACTGAAAGGATTTGCTGAATAATGTTTATTTGAAACCAGTCACTGGTGGATAAGAAGTTAGAATAAGCAGATAAATATGTCTAAAGATATTTTTAATATTTATGTGATGGACTAAATTAATTTGTATTTCTTTTTCATTTTGGATGGTCTATTTTCTATGTTCTCTCTTAACCAGAAACATCCTTAACAATAACAACAAGCTATTTTAACCATATTGTCAGTTTGCACTGTAGGTGCACAACAAAATTAATGACATAGTTATGAAATGCATCACATTTACATCTGATTTGCGTTGTGTATTGACAGGTAAGAGTCTCTGTTTTTTTCTGTTTGTTTTGATATAAAAACTGACAAAAACATGGCAGAAATGTAACAGATGGTTTTTCTTTCCACAGAACAAGACTACACACAAAAGTAACTTTTCATTACATTCAAATTGTAATCCAATATCTCCTCTTCTCCCGACTCTCAGGCAATGATCATATGCCGCACTTTTCTCACTCAGAAAAAAAAAGCTGGAAAAATAGAACAAGAGCTTGCTTTAATATAGAAGCAGTGAAACGGGTTGAGAATGCACACGTCAAAAATGCGCCTCTCGCTACTAAGTGTCGTCCCAGCAGTAATGATTTCACCCTGAAGTGTTTGCGTAGATGAGGTGCAAAAAAGCCGCACAGCTCCAAAGCAGCTGCTAAACATAGCCCAGGCCTTAGAAAAGCACTCCCATCCATCAGAGCTGTATAGAGAGCCATCCCTTCAGTTATTCAGGCCCTATTTCACTGTCCCAAATTCAGACAGCGCCATGAGACTCGTTTTCCCTTGTTTCTCTGCTCCTGGTTCTACCTCTCCAGGATGATGTATAGCAGGGAGTTTTGGGTCATGTCAAGATAAAGCTATAAAGCCCAGACTGGAACAGTGGGCGTAACCCATACAATGCACAAGGACACTTTCATTGGCATATGAACGACCTTTGGTGGGGCATTCATTAGATTTATTGTGGTGGGGGCATGGTATAGACTAAAGGCCATTACACACTGTACTCAATAAGAAAAGACACAGGAATGCAAATTATATCGTTTGCTTCTCATAGAACAGGCACAGGGTGACACTGGGCAGACTGCTCTTCACTTTGGAAAAGTGAAAGTAGCACAGAGAACTTCACTGCTTCATTCAAAAGCTGAAACTTCAAGTTCTTCCACATATCCATAGCCTAGTGTGAGCACCCTTTCAGCGGCTGGAGATTCTAATCTGTTGATTTATGCGAAAATGTTGGGACACAGCTGGGACACAGCCAATCCATCATCTTTGGTTGTAGCCAGAGATGACCGTGATTGGTCAGAGTGTTTATGTTGCTGGTGAAAGTTAGTAAAAATAGAACAGAGAGTGAATAAATAATGTCGCATTTTCGCCGTCCTCAAAATAAATTACACAAATAAATCACACTCTGTGTGTAAGGCATAGAGGAGTCTGCAGTTATTTAGGCAGTAACACTTCCTGTGGCTTTATACTAAAAGCTATTGAATTAATATCAAACAGGCTCTAATTTGTATTCCGTTCAATCAGTATGGATATTAATATCTTTAAAGCGGAGGTTCTGCACTTCAACCTCATTAATTTCTAAACAAGTGTGCTGAAGTCCAGGGCCAGAACATGTTACTTAGTACAGCACGTTTGTTACTTCTTGGCATGATTAGCATTGTACAGTCATATGCGAAACTTCATGAGATGAAAATAGCTGCACACAACTGCATATGAATTCCCAATTAGATTACAAATAGGAACTGCATTTTTTTTTAATTCTGTAGGCAAGGTAACTTTGCGATTGATTAGAAATTTTTCACTCTTGGCAAAATTACTGAAAATTGAAAACTTTCTTCTCACTCATACATAAAGAACAAAGGAAAGGATAAGAGTTTCTCTGATAAAGCTCTTTTCGTCCCATGACAAGTGACAGATGTCAGCTTAGTGTGCTGTGGGCCATGCAGAGGAGATAACGTGGGGAAGTTCACGTTCACGCTCCCTTCTCCTCTGGATGCCTTTCCGACCTCACTCACACATGACATTTCAGACAGAAGCAGTTGATGTGATTTATTTGCTCACGAGTCAGAGTTTATCGCCTGCGCATAGACCATGTCAGAGAGGGGGAAAGAACTGGAGGATAATAGCAAAAGCATGATATTCTGCAGGAGAGATTGATTTGGGTTTGCTTTTGTTCTACTCCAGCTGAGTAGCTTATATTAAAGACGATTTGAAAGCAGTAGATAATAGACATTTATCTTTTTTTCAATATTTTATTGGATTTTATGTTGACACCTGCACGAAGAAAAAAAAGTCCTTGTACATCTTGCAGTTGCCAAATAAAAATTCTGAATCTGATGTCATTGTCATGGTAAATGAGGGGAAAATGAAGGAAATGCCCTCTTTAAGTACAACATTCATTTACTGTAAAGCTAAACCATAACCTGAGTTTAGAATGTACAGGATGATGAAACATAAACCTGTGCAGAGTGTGTCTTGCATGAATTTGTCATCTAGTGTTTTACAGAATGTATTTATCTGAATTTAAATGACAAATCAAATAATTTCTAGTTATTTAAGTAAAACACAAACAATATCTTAATGATTCCACTTCATTGTAATAAACCATTATAAAAGACAAATGACAGTGAAATAAAAAACTTCAGATGCCAATTCTGTACATTAATAAAATCACCATTACAATTATATTAACTCCATAATGATATGTACACTTACTTAGTGTTAAACTAATCCAGTTTGAACAGAGCTTAATTCTAGCTACTGATTGCTGTAGCTAGCATTCAATGCTAATGCCAGCTTGCTGGTGAAACTCCAATGAACAAGTTTACGTCTTTATAATGAGAAACGATGTAAAAAATGCTGTCCCCCTAAATTGACCGTATCTTTTCAACAAATTTTCTTGTACCACTTAATATAATCACTATTATCTAATGACAATAACAGAGCCTAAATCCCAGGAATGCAATGACCCAGAATACATTGAAGATTAATTTAGACCGTAGACATTCAGTAAATTTTTGGTTGGATTTGGCCCCAACATTTGATCAGAAGGTTTGAATCTGAAGGTTTGTCTTACATGCAGCAGATTTTTGTTTTCATCATGTACCGTGTAGTTCCTCTCCAGTAGTAAAACCAGACTTGTCTATAGTTGCATGCTGTGGTCAGATATTTCATCAGAATGCTAGGTGCTTGCAAAACTGTGCAGCTTCTCTCTGTGGATTTGCTGTGTTGTTTTGTCAGTGAAAGGAGCACGGTGACCTCCAGTCTCTTCACCTCTGTGTCCTCTTGTAACAGAATGAATATTACTGTAGGTTGGACTTCCTGTGGAAGAACAAGTTCAAGAAGGAGTGTGAGGAGATTGAGACTATGGAGAACCTGAATCGTGTTTTACTGGAAAACGTTCTGCCAGCCCATGTAGCAGAGCACTTCCTGGCCCGAAACTGGAAGAACGAGGTGAGAAGTATTGGAATTGTTTGCCGTAGCTCCTCACTATAAAGTAAACTTCTTAATATTCTAAACTGTTAAAACTGTTCTATACTACACAGACAGGTAAAGTGCTACTACTTCATCTCAGATCATCCGTATCAGAAAATCTTTAGATCACTCCACTCTATGTGGTTCAACCATAGATGTACATATTAGACAGTGCACTGCTAAAGCCACTGCTCTGGTGGTGCACACTCCCTGGAAGGAAGTTCCTTGCATGGATTTACATTGATTGATGATTTTTAGAAATCTGTGTGATGGAAGAATGGAAGGTATTTTCTACAGAGAACAGAATCAGGTTTTCTAAATAAATTAATCTAAATAAATGGCTTGTTTCTGAAAATTACACGTGTCTTACAGTCTGTGTCAATAATATGCTGTGTGTATAAATTGTTAATGGTCATTAATTATTTACCTTAATTACTTAACTGAACTTTATCAAAATAGTAGTCTTATCTAAATAAGCTAATGTAGCTAGTTAATGTTGTCAGAGAAGACTGGCTAGCTAACTTAGCTAATGATTCTAAGAGTAATAAGAGAAAATACATGAACATGCTAGTGTCGTTTACACTTTTAAAGCAATGAAAATGAGTATGAAGTGCCAGAGTGGGTAATCGGGAGGATCCAGAGATTTCCTGCTGGGCTCATTTTTGTAGGTAACAGACAACAAAATGTGCTCACAAAAACTGTCTGTATTTGTAGCTGTTTATGGGGGGGGTACGCTAGATGCCCCTCTTCAGGTGGTACAGCCCCAGTTTGTCCCCTAATAACTCTTGTAGAGTGGGTATATAGGGAGATTAGCCTATCAAGGTAGCATGCTAGCATATGAATCTGCCACTGGTTGACCCAACAAGCAGTATTTTAGAGTACATTCATTTTTATATTTCTGAACGATGTTATTTTCATGACTTACTATGCATAAAATGACTGTCTAGGTATCAGCCCAGTGAAGTTCTTTTCAGCACTTATTTCAGTATGTTGAACAGCATAAAGACAGCACGGACACCAAGCATTAGACAGATGAGATTGACTGGAAAAAAATATAAATTATTGGAACGTTGCTCGGGAGAATAAGTCAGTTCTGCCTGACTGTGATGGCTTATCAATGGTGATGAGTGTGTAATCTCTTCAGGCCCTAGATCTCTCTCTCTCTCTCTGCTGTGTCTGACAGGATCTATATCACCAGTCATACGACCTGGTCTGTGTGATGTTTGCGTCTATCCCAGACTTCAAAGAGTTCTACACAGAGTCAGATGTAAACAAGGAAGGCCTCGAGTGCCTCAGGCTGCTGAACGAAATCATCGCCGATTTTGATGAGGTGACTTTAGTTCAGTTTTTGTGTTTGTATGATTCTCAATTTCAACAGTATTCCACCACAGAGGCTGAAAATCTGTATGGAGGGCAGGATCTGCCAATATGAAAATTTGACTGAATGAAAAAAAAAAAATTAAATGAGGTCTGTATTATTTCTTTCGATTTTATTTCATTTTGGTTTATATTAATTTCTGTATTTCCTGATTAATTGATTTCTGTTTATATTAATAATATGATTCATTAATAATCTAGTCTTGTGTTTTTTAATTTCTGTATTTAGTTTCATTTATTGTTCTGTGTTATTTTTGCATGTACTCTATTTCTGATATTATTATTTCTATATGTATTTATTTATATATTTTTCCCCATATGATAGTAAGGGGACAGGTTTTTCACATTCAGGCATAGCAATCAAGACCAAAGAGGTATTGATGGGAAGTCTGATTTATTTTACCAAACTGATTATTTTGAACTGCCACTTACAAACACAGGTGCAGACCTAGTACAAATAATATGACAGCGTAAATCAAAAGCAGCATAGATGGAGAGGAAACACAGTTGTTCTGTTTAACAGTGAGGTCTAAAATACTTTGTTACATCCTTTCACTGTGTAGTCATCAATGTTGATATCTGTCCAAGCAGAATTTGGAAATCTGTGTAATTGGTCTGTATTCTCTGTAACTGGGTTGTTTGCTCAGGCTAACAGGTTCCTCCAACAATATTGAATAATGAGAGAGTTACTGTAACACTGCAGCATAGAAAGTATGTTACTTGAAGAGCTGACATAAAATGTGAATATACACCACTGTTGGCTTAGTGCATAACCTAACATTATAATATCCAGAGTGTAAATGTATAGGTGGTAATCTGATAAATAAAGGCTACTTAAAGTTAAAAAATTCATGCAGTGACTAAACATCTCAGAGTTTAGTAAGGCCTCCACACAGAGGAGTAAACTGTCTGCACTTCTTGTACATTTATTAATTTATTTGTAATTTATTTATCATTTGATTTATTTCATAGTGGCAGATATGGTCTTCCACAATTCTGTGTTTGCAACTATGCATTTACAGTGTGATTGTTATTATACATTATTACCTTTATACAGAAGTGTTAACATCTTTAACTGATGTTTTTTTCACTTATTTGTTGGTATTTCAAGAAATAGCTTTTTATTTTGTTACAAGCAACAACTGACCCTAGTTACAAGAATATTGCTGCAAGAGAATAGAAAATGTAGCTTGTTAGCAGAAATATCAGAGCAGAGATGCTAATTTGTACAAATTTGTTGTGTTTGTGTATTTGGGGCGGTTGGGGACTCATTGCTGTTTCTTATGTAGTTGCTTTCCAAGCCCAAGTTCAGTGGAGTTGAAAAAATCAAGACCATTGGAAGCACTTATATGGCAGCCACTGGACTAAATGCCACACCAGAACATGCCCAGGTAACACACTGACAAAAATGACCAACAGAATGTAACAGAACAGTCTGGACTATCAAAATCAGCAGCTTTTAGCTAAAGAATAATTAAGATGGAGCTAGAAATACTTCAACCAAAACACATTTGGATTGCTTGGATGCTAAGACAGAAAAAAGGCTGGGTGGGACCCATCAGATTATGTTAAAGATCATGCGAACCTCTTCTGTTAGCTTTCAGTTTGTGATAGCCACATTTATGGAGTACTCCAATAAAGAGATATATATCATCACAACAAACTACTAATGCGTTTCAGAGCTATTGCCTTCCCCACCGTCTGAGACCATGCAGTCAGGGAAGATATGTCAGTCGGGAGAGAGAGAATTACTTTTCCATTCTTGACGACTGCTGAGCCCAAACCCATTCCTATAAATTATACACCTGAAAGAAAGTTTGAGGGCTTAGTTTAATGGCTTTTGAAGGGTTTTGGTGTATTTATAATTCATTTGCTTTTTGAAATTTCAGGAGCACGATAGGCAGTACATGCACATCGGTACCATGGTGGAGTTTGCCTTCGCACTGGTGGGGAAGCTCGATGTCATCAATAAGCATTCCTTCAACGATTTCAAGCTAAGAGTTGGTACGTAGCTAAACAAAGCTGTAGGAATTAATCATAGGATGAAATCTACAGGTCAGCTGTGAGCTTGATAAAGATAATTGAAGTGATTTTACCAATTCTGATATTTATCACAGCATCATTGGATAAAAACCTTAACGTTACTGATGTAGCAATTGAAGCAAACACATTATTATTCAATTTCAAGATGTCTTCTTGCATTTTCCACAGTCAAACTAGGCTATTCTTAACAAGAGCCTCAAATGAAATCGAGTAGCAATGAGAATGCTCTTCTCCATCAGACTTTCCCATTCCGCTTTCGCTGTGCCTTCAAGCATGATTGCGTCGCCTGAAGTATTTGAGTGGATTTGGCCTGCGTTCAGATCACTGGAGCTCAAGCCATCTGACTGTCATGTCTCAACAGTGCCATGCTTCTTTCTGTCCCTGTCAAGCTCAAGCTGCTCCTGGTAGCTGTGGGTTTCTCTGTCTCCTACGCCCTTACCCTCATTTCTCAGCATATGGAAAACACAGTCTGACGCTGCACTGAATTTATGCCGCAGTAGCATTTGAAATGTGCTTTGAAAAGCGTTTTAAGTCTCGTCTAATTAAGGCCACTACATGCCATCCAGAAATGGAGAAATTAATATAGACGTGTTTAATTCACCACTTGCTCACACAGGAGGTTATGTGTAATTTTAGTTTGTTCAGTAAAATAATTTGTCATGTAAAATTGTTGGGCAGAATTCATTTCCATTCAGTTAAAGTCAGTGTAATCAAAGCGAGCCATGGGTGGTTTAAAGACTGTATATCTTCAGCACTGGACACTACAAATGTCACTGCACAGGTGAAATGCCTAAGTGGTTTTGCAAAAACATGGTCAGATTTGCCGGTGTCCTATCATAGAGGGTTGTTATTGATTGCTTCATGAATCTGGTCAGCTTTTGGTCAGCTAAATGTTACTCTGTTGGGTAAATTGGTAAATGCATTTAAACCAAACTTAGGAAGTGGTTTGTAGTTTGTCACAGTAATCACTGTTAATTTTTTAAGAATGGCAGTTTTATTAATATCTTCATTGATCATCATCTCCAAAATGGTAACTTTACAGGAGAAGGGGAAAAACCTTCTTTACTATTTCAATCAATTTTGGAGCATTTCTGTTGCTCCATTCATCATTTTCACACAATGTAAAAGGCAGCTTCTGAGAAATTCTTAGGAGTCCTCCTCAGTGTTCAGTAAAACGTAAGCAGTCATCCATCAGTTCTTGTTTCCCTGGCTTATAAATATGTGGTGCCACAAAGGCCAAGTTCCCTTAGTCATTCATCAACATTGGGAATATTATACAATACACAAATGAAATGAGAAAAGTGCTTGAAGTTAGCTAGACGCTCTGAGAACTTTTGACTGTAAATATGTGACGTGATCAGATGAGACACAAATGGAGCAAGAAACACTCAAGGTGGATTTGGCATTAAAAGAAGGACAGTTAGACAGAAAGAATCTCATCCTTATTGCTAGGTATGGTGGTGGGTCTCTGATGTTTTGGACTGTTTTTCCACCAAAGGCTGTGAGAACCTTTTTAGGATACATGGCATCATAGACTCATCATGGGTCATTAAGGTCATTGGTAGGAGATTTTAAATAAAGATCTGGCTACATTTGCCAAAAAGCTAAAACTGGGGTCATATTTGCATCTTCTAGCAGGACAATGATCCATAAGTTCAAAGTCCAAATCCACACAAAAAATGATTAAATGACCACAGAATCAAGCTTTTGATATGGTCATCCCAGTAGCCTAACCTAAACAACATCAAAAATCTTTGGGGTGAGCTGAAAAGAGAGTCCGAAAGAGAGGACCTGGAGTGAGTCTGTATTGAGGAGGAGTCTCAAATTGCTCGCTTTGTATTATACTAGAGCATTAAAGGAGAAGACTCACTGTTCTTATGTTGGCAAAGGGAGGCTGCACAAAGTAAGCAGGGTGGTTTTGTTAAATACTTTATTTTCTTTGACAGTTTTTTTATTACAGGTCAGATTTCTCTCATATTTTCAGTGTGAGACTGAGCTAATTAGACCAGACATTTTTATGACCTCTTTTCTTCACCAAGGGTATCCATAAATAATTATGGAGCTGACTGTATATTTGTATCTGTAACCAAATACATTGAAATATTTGGTTAGTAATGTAATGTTTTTTTTTCCTTCAGTGACCACGTTTACATGCACACAACTGCTGGTCAAATTACGAAATGGTCATGTACACAGCACATCTCGACTGTCATAGCCTGACTAAGGTCTTAGTCAGCCAGGCTTGTGCCATTAAAACATGTGGTCCAGGCTGGTCAGACTTTCCTAAGATAGATTTGGACATATAAATACTCAGATTGCTCCATTGACTCGTGCATGAATTTTTGCAGCATTTTGTGGCGCTTTATGCAGCACAACACATACTTTAACCGTGAATCCAAAACAAATGTGAGTGACATAAGACAAAAAGGCTTCTGGGAGAAAGAGAAGTCCCTCATGTTAAACACTGTGTCAGAAATAGGCATCATTAGTTATTTACATGGAAGGAAAATAAGGTATAGGGTTATTTTTGAATGGTGAGTAAATGTTCTATGGATAAATGTAGGTGCATGATGAGTGGAGTGTGAAGTCAGACTCTGCTGCCGTGTGTGACGGGACTGCTAATGGAGCAGAGAAGTAAATGATTAAATGATTTACTGTTAAATGAGAAAACAATTGTTAAACCTACTCTATTGGTTAAAAAAATGTCAGTTTAACTTTATACCAGTTTCTAGTTGAAAAGGCAGATTGATCATTCACGTTGTGGAGTTGTACACATGTGGGCACAACAGGCAATTAGTTCTGCCTGACAGGCCTACTTAAAAATAAAGCACCCAGTTAAAAATAAAGAGGATGACGTACCATATTGACATACTATATCAAAAACAATCATCCTCAAGCGATGAGACAGACAGTTGTTGAATAGTAATGAGTGGTAAATATAACTTTATAACTTTAGAATATAAAACTTTTCAGTAGCCAGTCATTGTATATTCATCAACTTTTTAGTTGTTAGTCATATAATCATGAACATATAGTTGCCAGCCTCTCAGTTTAAACAAAACCGTCATCTTGGGGTTTTGGGCTGTTTACTTCATATACACACTTATTAGAGCAGGATATCAGTCAAAAGAATCAGCCAAAATTTGCATCCCAAAATTTGACTAGTCTTTTTATAGTCTTGCTCTGGTCCTGTTTTAACTAAGGACTAAGGCTAATTTTTTAAATCAGCACTTGTACGTGGTAGATGCTCCACAACGAGTTTCCTTACTGCAGAGACAGTACTGATCTCCTGCTGTCTGAACTGTGCTGACTCACATCACTATATCTCCTCTCCTGTTAATACACACTGTGCAATATATCATAACCTCTACTGTAATGACACTCTGCACACTTTACACGGTAAACACTGCTGTTACTCCTAGTTCTGTTTATACTCATTGTGTTGAAAACTACCTCATACCACTTAGTGCAATACCTGCTCTCATGTAAATACAACAAATGTCTTATATGCTATGTAAATATACAATATACTTTATTCCTTCTCTCCCATAGTTTACTCTGATTTTTGCCTATTTTTCTATTTCTGCCTGTTTTTTTCTATTTTTATTTCTGCCTAATATATCTAAGTTCTAGATCTAGATACTTGGTAAAAATAACATTTTTATTGAATACAATTTCAGGAACGTCACTACAGCAGTCCAGTATTGAGCGTAAACATTTCTATCCCTGTGCAGGTATTAACCATGGGCCTGTGATTGCTGGAGTTATCGGAGCCCAGAAGCCTCAGTATGACATCTGGGGCAACACAGTGAATGTAGCCAGCCGGATGGACAGCACTGGGGTGCTCGGGAAAATACAAGTATGCTTGATTTATCGTTTTAAAATGAGTTTTGAACATCCACGCAAGTTTGTCTGATCATCCTTCTTTTTCCTTTGTGTATACAGGTTACAGAGGAGACAAGTCGAATCTTGCTGGCGCTGGGCTACACGTGCTCATGTCGAGGAATCATCAACGTCAAAGGGAAAGGAGAACTGAAAACCTATTTTGTTCACACAGAGATGACCAGATCGCTTTCTCAAGGGAATGTAATGCCATGAGCCAGGAAGCCCCAGACAGTTGTTAGTGAAAATCTAGGAACACCAGAGACATTTGTAAATAATCTCGCCTTGTCCTTAGATGCACGAGATCTTGGATGTATTTAAAGTGATACCATTTCTGCAGTATCTCATAAGCAGGGTTTGTGCACAGGGTACATAAGTATGGTAGCAATTATTTTGTAAGAAAACCAAATATAACAAAAAAGTGTTTTGATGTTTTAACGCATTGTTTTTCTTTTTTTCGTTTTTTGTAAAAAAAAAAAAAAATCATTAAACTTTGTATGTACTTTCGTCTTCCTGCCGACCTCCTTCTTTGTGTCATTTACTTGCGTGAAGCTGAAACAAGAACTGTGCATGAAAGGTACAGATACAGAATAATTGGTCCTCTCTTAGATAATGTCAACAAGGCAGCGCTTTCAGTTTTCTGCATTATACCACCAAGTGCTGATTGCTTTTAGTTCACTTCACGATATGGCCTCTGCAAAATACCGTCAGCTTCCTCCAGCTGTAATAATACAGTTCACTTCAGATTTATCTGTATTTCATGCTTTACCAAAAGTATCTTTCCAGAAATGCAGGTTCAGGCCAGCAATGATCAAGCCAGGGAAGACAGTCAGGAGAAACAGAGGAACCAAGACTCAAAAGAGAAGAAGAACCCATCTTCCTGGACAGTGGGGTTACGATACAACTAGGACAAGTTTACAATGAAGGAAGGAAGGTTAGGACCGCCACTGGACTGTTAGACTGTAGCAATAAGTAATAATGTAGAGTCCATCTGTACCTTCTGTAACTTGAGCCCATATAAACAAGCCAGTCAAATCCCACAAACTACATTACTGAACCTCCTCTGGTAAAACTAATCCAGCTCAAATAGCACTCGAGTTACTGTAGGAAGAGTTCACCTGTGCACTGCAGTGCTGCTGCCTGGGGCCGGTTACTGGGAGACTTGGCACACCTGAGCTTCATCTGGGCTGCTAATTAGCAGGCTTAGCTGTGCCCTTTCTACTCTATGTACATATCTTTAGCAAGAGCCACAGCAGCTGGTGTTGGGAGGCACTGAGGTGCTTCAGTATGGGAAAGCATATGCCAGGAGAAGGCAAACTAACACAACTTTCAGAGAGGAGGTTTGGTAATGTTTTACTGTTTTTGGCAGAAATTCTGTTGAAGGATTTAGGGTTAAAATACACTGAGCCACACACCTCTTCCTACAAAAGTATTTATTTAATAGAATTTAGTTGTAGAGTTTAGGCTCCTGTACAAAAAGTAGAAACTGCAACAGGTAAGATGTACATGATTTCAGAGTTTAAAAATACTGAACAGATCAAATAGAAATGATTTTAAGCTTTGTGCCACAGCTAGATGGCCAGCAATGGCAGAAAAGACAGTGAACGATACACTTAAACAGGTCTGAATATAAAGTCTGAAAGTAATGTAAGCCAGCAGGACTATGCAGATTACTTTACATCACACAGCAAAGCTACACCTCGCAATATCCAGTACTCAGGAGGATGGCTTGTTCTCAGGTCCACAGCTGCAATGCAGTTCAGGTCCGTCCTCACGGGTTTCTTGTAAATGGGACAGGAGTAGTGGCGAGAGTCCTTGACACCTGAAAAGAACAGCAAGACACTTTTAAGACTACACATTATCAGCTTCATTCTCTTAAATGTTTATTAGTAGAGTGAAGATCATCTTTTTCAGATAAATCCCTCTGAAACCTGGGCACTGCAGGAGACAGCAGGCTTTGCTGTTTGGTCCTAAATCATGGTTAATATTCTAAGTATCCTCAGAAATCCTTCATTACCAGATTGAGTGTTCAAGCCTCTAAACAGTTCATGATTATGAAACCTTTATGCAACCAAAGTCTAAATGAAGATAAAAAATAAAATTTGTCATTAATAAATCTTGAGTTCATCAGCTTCAGTTTGACCGTCTTCAGCTCGTACCTCATAAAACAGGTTCTTATGCATATCATTATTGTTAATTACCCATACATGTCTCTACATAACGGCTTACGCTCACTTTTAAGCTTCTAATTAGCTCTAAATTATTTCCGAGAGCTACTGTCAATCTTCCGCTACATAATCTTCTTCCATTAGTACTCGAGGCACACAGACCAAACGCCATTATTAAAAACCTGTTTGTGACATTTAAATGTTATATTCATGTGTCTGTTTCCTGGAATAGATTTTGAATTAATGCCACCACAGGAGTGGCTTCCAAAGGGTGATGTACATTACTGGACCTGATTTTAGCCTTGGCTTTATGATTTCTTCCAGCCATTGGGAAAGATCTGCAATCCTTCACTAGTACTCAAACTGAAATCATGAACTGGCTTTTCTGGTAACATAAAATGCTACCCAAATGTAGTTCATCAGCCAAGACATGATTGGGGTCTGAAGTTTGCTTGTTCTTATACTGTAAGATAGTTTTCCTCAAAAGTGGATAAAACTGTCACATAGCTAAAAAAAAAAAGTGGTAGTAGCCACCGTGAAGCCTGACTGCAAGTTAAAACTGGTATATATATTTTGGAGACAGAAAAGAGAAAAACAGACATTTCAACTGAGAAGGCTAAAGCAAACTGCTGCATAGCAGAGTGGGTTACACTGCTGCCCTGCGCACTGGGGAGCAGCATTTGTTTCCCTGTTCAGGCAGGAATATAAGCAACATTCTGTATTTGTCTATCATGTTAACCTGTTCTGGATAAGCCTAACATCTCATGTTTTTTTTAAAAAATGTAGATGTACAGAGGAGGGTAAAGATTAGTCACCACCACCACAAACAGCACCCAATGCAGTAAAAATGAAAAATATTGGATACCATCTGTCCTTGTATTCGTTTAGTAAAAAACAGACATTATTTCTGAATAGATTTCTTTACTGTATTAATTCGTATTGCATTAATTAAAGGTTTATTAGTCCAAATGACATTTCTTCTGACTGAAAAAAGTTACTGTTTTGAGCCATTTCATAAAGAATGCATGAACACTGTGATGTATATTGCTTATCGCCAAAAGGATGAAAATTTTATACACCTATACATTTTTAACCAAATTGCTCAGCCCTACAGTGTCAGAAACTGCACAAGTGAGTCTGCTCGAGATTACTCAACATTCGTCCCAGTTTGAGGCAACTGTGTGACGGTTTAGGCCACATCAATGTAAACCTAAAGACACAAACTTCAGACACCACACACTGACTACATTTGGGGTAAGTGGAAGATTTGAGAAAATTTGTTTTTTGCTAAATTATTCAGAACATTTATGCCAGTGCTTTAGGAAGGCACAGGTACCTGCAGGCGTTGGTGGAACACTGCAGCTGTGATGTTTGATGTAATGGGGGCTGCCAGCCTCCCAGCCCACCACCCTCTCTTAAATAATGGAGCCACTCTACATCTTTCCAGCTCAAACCGTGCACTACTCCATCCAGCTCTTAAAACTGAACTGAACGCTATGCTTTGTGAGGGGTACAAGCTTAGGGTCCTGTTAATGGATGTGTGTGTGGGAGGGGGGTGCTGGGTCCTGTTAATGGATTTGTGGATTTTTGGCCTGTAGATGTAAAAGCTGTTAAACTGAGAGGTGCAGTAATTGCTAAAAGTTAAATAAAACAATACGAGAAAAAAAAAGTTCAAATTGTTTCCATGCTCAAGGGCCTCAAAAAAATCTGAACTGTGTTTAATCATTTTGTGGAGCATGAATTTTATGCCTGATTTACAACTTTCTTACTGTCTTGTCCATAAAGCACTTTAGGTTGTATTTTTTTTTTTTCGGGACAAAGCTGAAACACGGCTAAAAAAAGTCCTAGCTTATCTAGCTCTCACCGTTGTTCTCAGCATACATTCTGACCACGGGCATCATCTCAAACAGCACTTTAGGTTTGGAGTCAATGAGCCTGCAGTTACGGCGGTCCCAGCCTGCGCCCTCCAGGTACAAGCCGTACACGTACACGCCTTCCTGTGGTGGCTGAGTGATGTCATCTTTCATCCACTTCGTCACCTCATTGCACAGCACCATCCGGTCCAGGGCCCAACCTTTGTTTGCCCGAGTGATCTCCTGCGCAGATAGAGAGAGAATCAGTGACCGAGAGACACCTCAGTATAGCGTGATGGAAGTCTTTAGAAAAAATTTGTTTAAACATTTTGTATTAGAATATTTGTTAGCCAGTACATTAATTATACACTAATTTTCAATATAATTGTATCATATAAATAATAATTCTCTTATTCTATCAATTAAGACAGTATGAATTGTCTGAAATTAATGCAAACTGGCTGAAATTCACCAAAACTGGAAGATAAATGTTGAGTTTTGTTTTAATAATGATGTTTTTAAAACAAAACTCAACATTTATCTTCCAGTTTGGAATGTTTGGAAACAAATCAGCATGGTGTAATCAACATGTAGGAGGCCATTTTGTTGTAGCAATGGGAAATTATATTTCAAATGAGACCCCTGAGAACCCCTGGTTATGTGTGAAATTCTGGGAGTTTTATTACATCATTTGTGATTTCCATGACCCCGTGATGTTTGTCGAATCTACTGCATCAAACAGAAACGTTTGGAAAAATGTTTAAAAATTCATTATACTTGTAAAACTATAACTACTGTAAGTGTCCGTGATATAATTCCTGACAAAACTATTCAAGAAACATTCGTTTTGAATCCAGGGCAGGTTTTAGAGGAAAGGCCTCTGGTCATAGCTTTGGTTGCAGTGGATTTCTCTGTATTCCAGTGCCAAAATTTGAAAAAGTTATTCGATCGATGTCCAGGCTGCAAGACCAAGCACAAGTAAATGTCCAAAAGGCCTGGTGTGAGAACATATAGCTCAGTGGTAAATGCTATGCTTCCAAAGCCGAACAGTCACTGGTTCAAATCTTGCTCAGACCATGTCTTTTGCATACATTTGTTGTAAGGCTGGGAATCTGAGAGACAAAACTCCACCACAGAACTTATCATGAGATCCTGTGGCTCACTGGTAGATGCTGTGCCTCCATGGTCAGGAGGTTATTGGTTCAAACGCTGATCAGGATCTCAAGATCATGGTTGTGGGTGTGTAAGATGTACACGGTATGGGTGCAAAGGAGGGTGAGGTGCATGCAAGGAGTGAGGAAGGCTGGTGAGCAATACCCAAGACAGGGGGAAGTAAGATAAGCTGGGTCCCCTGTGAGAAGAAAAGAAGGGTTATGGATCATGCAACAAGGTGTTCGACTTAGTTTTTAAATAATCCAGGTTTACATTTAAAAACTATCACCCTCACTT